CGACCATGCCACGCTCAAAATTGCTTAAATCACCTTTCTTTCCCATTCTGACATTCAGTTTGGAGTTCAGGAGATTGTCTTGACCAGGACCACACCCCTAAATGCAATGAAGCAACTGGCATGTGATTGGTTGATTAGATAATTGCATTAATGAGAAATTGAACAGGTGTTCCTAATAATCCTTTAGGTGAGTGATACACATACATACATACATACATACATACATACATAAATATATATATATATCCTGTAAAAAAAACTTATTTTATGCCTTATTTTACTTATTTGTCCTTGTATCTTTACTTCTAGTTGTATGTTTAAGTTGCTTATGTCATGACACCACCTGCACCAAAAAAATACATTGTACTTCTCTGTACTTGGCAGATAAAAAAAAGATTCTAAGATTTCTATTCTGAAGAACACTATCTGCATCAACAGAGCAGGAGTGCATATTGAAAAGTTGTCTGATCAGACATTATCTTCTGACATTTAATAAAATTTAATATTAGTACATTCATCCATCATACAGATAAAAATAAATGTGAAAAAGTTAAGAAAATGTGACATGAAATGGCTAACAGCAAAAGTTGTCTTGTGAGGCTTAAATTAATGTGGCTGGATTTTAAGACTGATCCTTTCTCAGTGAACTGTAAATAGTCCAGAGTATTTCCCCTCTCACCAAAGTTAAATGAATCAATTGCTATAAGATAACAAAGTGATAAGATTATGTGTCATACAATTAAACTTTTCATATGCTAAAATACAGAAAATTGATAGAAAATATTAGGAAGTTGATTTCTGAAATACAAACAAATTTAGCCAACTTTTATTTAAGAGAGTTTACTAATGCTGATGCATGTATGGCTCAGAGAAGGCTTCTGCGTCAGATACATTTCTATCGCTTATACACCATAACATTCAGTGATAATGGGACGTTTGTAATACTGTACTCCATAAATTCATATTGATGAGAAAAGTACAAAACCGAAAACGAAACTATTAAAAGTATCCACGAACAACTTTCATTTTAACCGAATAGAACTCTCCAGAACTATAAATATATAAAGAATAAGCCAAAGTACATTACACAATATGATAAGACCCTGCTAAAATTAATATGATAATAACTACGCGGACATGAGAACAATTACAGCACTTGTGTTGTCCTCATTTTAGTATGGGAAGGAATACATGCGACTGGGTAAAACTAGCTGGTGATCTCAACAATAAGCTATTTGGCTGTTTGTATGCAAGATTCATACATCTGTCTATCCAGATACTGCTACACTGGTTTTCATTCGTATACGTGTTATACCTTTTTTGTACTTAATTGCCTGTATAAAACATAGGGCATAACACTTTGTTCAATATTCTTCATGCAACATTTAAATACTGTAACAGTGTTTAATTTCCCGATTACGATTCAGTCATTAACTACAGCTGAACCTCAGTTATCGTCATACTTGAACCAGCAATTAGACTGAAGACAAGGACTAGATTTAAACGTAAATGCCTTACCATTTTCGATAGATTTCGACGAGTTTGTGCGTTTTGACATAATAGTTGGAATTCCACGTATTTAAATAAGTAAAAGAATTCCGTGACAGCTTCCCTAAAATGCGTTAAGATAAGAATATCCAAGCCTACTGCTACAATTGGGTGCGGCTGCAAATATACCAAATCACCCAGTTAACTACCTAAAGTTCATCACCATCATTCATATAAAACAAACATCCGCCAAACAGCAATACATAAGAATCACATGACACCAGAAGAATCACTCGTAATTCCGTTTCCGGATGAACTGTGTGTTGTCATTGCCGTGTTATTTTTTTCGGTGATGGGTGTGTTCAGTCAAGGTCGCAAAATAAATCTGCGCATAATTGTATTGGCCTGGCTTAAATTAGCACTGGCTCCCACTTAAGCTGAAGCCGTTTCATTAAAATTATTCATTTGCACCTTGTCCACGTTAATTCAAGCCAAACTTGTTAAAGCCTCCATTGTGCACGAACATCCAGTTCTCTATATAAGCAGTGAGAGCGCGGTGTTCTTTACGATAGCGGGGCAAACATTACTTTTGGAGCAATACTAAAATTGTAAGGATGTAATCACAAGGAGAGGGAAAACTACGACGACCCAGTCAGCACAAGTACGTCGGCGCTACGTCGCTGATACGTTTTTTGAAAGGTCGGTATCTAGTAGCATTTCAGGCATTTGCACATTGGCCCTATGTAGCGGCCTTGAAACAGCTCCGTCCAGGCGATGTAATCGCGACGTTTTCTGTCTCAACAGCGATGAAAATGCTATGTCTAAGTGAAACTCCGCGATGATTCCCCAACCCTCTTATTATCCTACGCGATCATTTCCCGACCCGCTTATTATCCTATGCGATCATTTCCCGACCCGCTTATTATCCTACGATTGCCAATAATTATTTCTACGTTTGCTTTAGTGTCTAACACGTATTGATACTAATATATTTTATTTATAATATATAAAAAATACAAAGGTGTTCGTTACAGTTATTTCAAAAAACAAACAATATATAAAATGCACACAAAAAATATAAAATGCACACGTTACAAAAATAAATACAGAAAAATAAAAATACTGAAAGAAAAGAACTATCGGACAGGCCTAGTCAGCCTGTCACGAGCAACTCTTTGATGGTTATTTCAGCTTCACCCTCATTTGGACTAGACATCAGTGGGTTTCGTAATGCAGAATCTAAAAAACAGAACAGACACAATTCACTTACATTAGACCTTATAAAATGGTAAATGTCAATCATGAACAGGTGAGTTTGTTATTCCTTCATGTTGTAATCATTCACTTTTTATCTGCAGTCTGGAAAAAAAGCAACTTTGGGCATTAAAACCAATGATAACTATGGGAAAGAATTATGTAACGTGCATGGGGAGGTTAAATCCATATTGTGTTTAAACCTTTAGGATAAAAACTTTATCATGAAAGGTCAAATTTGACTTTTACTTAAACGTTGGTTAAGTATGATGTTTGTATTCCTCATTTCTCATGTTTTGTACCCTCTGTCACACCAGTTTAAATGAACTGGCAACTGGGGAGCAAACACCTTTCCACAGATCCTCCAGACTGTTTTCTTTAGTGTTTGCCCCCCAGCCAGTGACAGTTGGGAAACCTGGAGGAACATCTGTACGAATAAGACAGTAAAAAATAACTCTAAAACCCTAAGTGATCACAATTACTGTGTTATATTATATTGAAAATAGAAAAGCATAATTGTGATAATTTTCAGTATGTACATGTATTTTGACAGTGATCTTACACCATAGTAATACAACTGACGCTGCACTAATCCATTTGTCGAACTCCATTTCCCTCACTTCCAAACAAGACTCCGAAATACTTAACTCCTCTGCCTGAGGTAGAATCTCATCCCCCAACAGGAGAGGCAATCCACCCTTTTCTGGTTGAGAAACTTGGAGGTGCTAATCCTCAACCAGGCCACCGCATACTGTACTTAGCTGCAAACTACCCCAGTGAACTTGAAGCCAAGGGCCTGGTGGGTGGGCCTCCACCCATGGGGCCTGGCCCGGCATAACCCAAAGGAGTAATATGGGTCTGCCCTCCCGTGGGCCCACCATTTGCAGGGGGAGCTGTGGTAGTCGGGTACAATGTAGATCAGGTGGCAGATTGGATGGACTGATAGTCAGATACAAAAACTGGCTCTTGGTACACAAAGATTATTATGCAATTACTATATAACAAAATTATTAGTAGTACTAAGAATTATTATTAATATTTATTATAATTAGCAGCAATATATCAATATATTGCACTCAGGATGGCATGGTGTTTGGAGCAGTTGTTGGAGTGGAGCCCCTTTGATTCTCTCTCCTTGTGAAGCTTTGTCTTGGTTGCAGTTCTCTGTCGGGTAGCAGGTCTTCACCGGCAGGCTTCAGGAGGGCTTCTTGCGGGCTTCTCTTTCTCCTGGGCTGATGTTCTCCGCCTCTCTCTTTGGGCTGATGTGCTTTCTGCTCCTCCTGGCTTTGTTCTGAGGTACCAGGTTTTATGGTCTAAAGTTCATGAATAGGGATGACCAGGAATTCAACACCTGAACCAATGGCTGACCTTCCATTTGGCGGGCTTTCGGAGGGATGTGTGTGTCGGTGGCAGTCCTTTTGGGATCTATGACCAGACTGATTCACCTTTACTGATGATTTTCATTAAGCTGGTGTAACTTTTGATCCATACATTTTCATGGTAACCACTGACCAGATTTGGAATCAGGAGTGATTTTCCATCAGTTTGACACCAAACATGCCATACCAGCCTAGCGGTTCACACCTCATACCATTTGTATTAATTAATTATCAATTACTTATATTATGTATGTTACTGACTCACATCACTATACGGTATAGTGTTTTGGGTTGCATCTCAACAGATGTTACACTTTGTACCGACATTTACAGTACATTACATATTCATATTCAAACAGCACATCTTACCTTTGATAGGCGTGGCCGTTAGTTTGGGGTAACACTAATTTAATTTGCACATATGGGAACAACATATTTTGGGTTGGTGTGGCATCCCAATTGACCTACCCCCCAGAATGGACTTGCTAACGGGCCACCAAGATCAGATAAGGGCCACAGAGGAATGTGAAAAAAGGGGGGAGGTTGTAAAACAAAGAAAGAAGAATCTCTGAAAGATTATTAAATTGTGTATAAATTATATAGCATCCTGATATAATATTAATACAATTCTTAGTTGGGATCTGTCCCAAATAGCAGTTGATTCCAGGGCGAATCTACCTGTGAGTTAGATCCGCTTTACAGTCAGATGCGATTTGCAATTCACCCAATGTCCAGTAAATCCCACGTTTTTTTTTTCTTTCTTTCCAGAGGTGTCGAGGGGATTACAGAATTCAGTATCTTACATACAACATAAGTGAAATAGCACACTCCTCTGACATCTGTAAATTGACTCATACATGAGTGGAAAATTAAAATGCAAATGTTATTTTATAGACTGTGATAACTAAATGGAAAAGTGGAGATTTTTATTTTATTATCATCATTTTCGTTTTCTTTTTGGCAGGAAATACCTCCCATAACTCCAAGCCAAGACTGTGAACAGGAACACTGGGGTAGGCACTCTCACAGCCACAGGCCCACAGCATCCAATGATCTTTCCCAAGGAGATTCGCTATCTTCTCCCTCACAGCTTTCCGACTCCAGCCTTTTCTCGCGTCTCTATTCTGTGGTTCTTTGTTCCAAGTGTGCCCTGGGCTGGGTTTCCCGAAAGCTTCATAATGCTAGTTAGTTCATCGTCTAGCACTGAAGATTATTCGTTAGTTACACTCTCAGAAAAAAAGGTACAAAATTGTACTTTTGAGGTACAAAATCTTGTCACTGGGGTGGTGCCCTCAAAGGTACTTTTTTGTACCTCAAGTGAGGGAAACAAAATTGTACCTCACATATTTGTACCTTCTAGGGAGCAATATTGTACCTTACATGATAGTACAAAATTGTACCTTTTGCAAGGGTACAATATTGTCTCAGTAGGGTACAGCCCCAGTGACAAAGTCATTTTGTACCTTTAAGTGGCAAAATGTACCTTCATAATGTTTATTTTCTTAAAGAAACACAAAGAAAACAAGTAATATTCTGTATCATTTAATCAGTCAATTTCTCATAAAAAGCAATATTTACATACATATTTTAAGCATTTACACATTTTAGCAATACTGCAAAGTAACAAACAGTTTGTCATCCACATTGTATATGTCCAAAGGATGATGATCAACAATCTCATGAGGATCTAGGACAGTCCAGTCCTCATCACATTTCACCTCATATACAAAGGAATTAATAATTTGCCACACAAAACCCAATCTGTTAATATATTTACAATATAGCTGATCTGAAAAAACAATGGAACGTCTTCAGGATGAATGTGAGCCACAACAAAAACATCTTTAACACCATACTTAACTCTATTTATTACTACTTTTTGTACTCTCTGGAGTGTTAAGTCACGAAAATCAATATGTTTGTATCTCTCAGCAGTTATGGAAAATTGAAGTGCAGCAGGAAAAGACTGTAATGGCATGCTTATACCACATCCAACAACTTCCTCATACTCTTCCAACATATTTGAAAATTCCCAAGATTGTCTGTATTGGTGCCGACTGCTTAAAGTGAATGCAACATTTACAAAATTCTTGCAAGACGTAGCCACCTCTTTAAAGTATTGATGTTTGCTTTCAAATCGCATACACCACAAAGGCCTTAAAGGCCCATAATACAACATCAAATGTGAATAATGGATTAAATAGTGGCATTTAGGCGTAATGACATTCCCAAACTCTTTTTCCATACCACTCAAAAACTGAAATATTATTTGATCAAGATGTAAGAGAGACTCCTTTTTAACAACTGGTGCAGTTATTATATCATAAATTTCTCGGCAAAATAAATAAATTTGCCAGTAGCCACAGCCTTCAGGTACCCTATGTGCCATTAAAAATGGAAGCAGGCGGAATAAACACCACTTTTGTGAGGGTGATCCTGCAAAACCAAAGTCTTGTAAAAGTTTTTCTGTCAGAGGCACAGGCCTATTTGTTTTATCATTTTGTCCGAAAGACATATTTTCCAGTTCAACATTTAGTTCTTGTATAGTTATATGTTTTTCTCTGTGAGCTCTACATATGACAAGCCGCAACACAAGTGGTACTACACCCTCTAAAAAATCATGCATAACATCTGGAGGCAAGGCTGTAGTGACATCAAAGTAGGATAACTGATCAAACACACATCTACCACAAACTCTATAAAGTCCTTTGTTTTCTTGGTTCTGCTGTACACATTCCAAGTGATATTTGTGCACATCAGTTGTTCTTAAAACAAAATCTATCGACAGATTCTACCAATATTAAAGGACATATTAAATCCACCAATCATGTGAGATGCCAAGTTGTCTGCTGATATGACAGCTACAGCTCCATAAACATGTTCTTGAATTCCATTTACAATAAAACTAAGTCCTTCTGTGGTCAATTTCTCAAGGTCTTCTAATAATGGTTTCAAAATCACTTCTAAACCAAACTGTTTAACAAAACAGTATCGTACAAGCAACGCCAGATGTATATGTTTCAACTGTAAACAGTGTTTTGCTCCTATGTTTCCAACAGTGTAGTAAAGTGCAAACAATTTGTGCTTGTTACGCTTTGAACCCAAAGCATTACAGACTTCAAATTCGTCCCCATATAAGTGTAGCATTAACGCATCTGGATGGTCTGCAAAAAATACGTGATTCTGGAAATTAAGGCCATCTTTAAAATCAGTAAGTACATGTTGATCTCTCTTGCAATTTTGCTCAGCCTGCATACAATCCCATACCTCCTCACAAGAGCAGTAATTTTTAAGCACATCACAAATAGGGACATAAGAGTAGCAGCCTACCTTGCGACCACTTGAGTCTCTCAATGCATAATCTACTGGTTCACTCATTTTAAGTTTAGATTTACAATGCTGTTTGAACATATGAGGCGATCTTATAAGTTTTGCAGCCTCTGAGAAAAAGTCAGGAGACTTTAAAACTGACTGAAGTTCAGGACAATCATCAACACTAAAGCCATTTCTTTCCAGATGGTATGTTAGAAATGAATCATAGTTGTCCTTGAAAAAGTCAAATAGAAAAGTGACATCAAGTATTTCTTGTTGCACAGTTTGTTGAAGGAGGTTTTTTTCTCTTCATTTTAGTACAAAATTAAAGAGGTTTTCTCTAAATTGCAGCAAGAGTTCATCTATCATAAGAGGAGCAGGAGTGGCCAAAGATTCAGCAATACCACAAGGCCCCTGCTCCTCTTCCACCTCTGTTCCTTGAGTGTGTTCAGTGTCCACAGGCAATATAATGTCTCGATGCTTCCTGTATATATGATGTCTTGACTCATATTTTGAAAATGTTGAGACCACAAGTTATAGTAAAATTTGGCTCATGTGCATGTATAAGCCCAATATGCTGCAGTAGCTTTACAAGAGTGAAGGCCCTTCGAGAGCATTTTGGACAAGAAAATGTACGAGGCATTAAGTTCCTTAATTTAAAAGGTTAATAATTCTGGTCACTGTTGTTGGTAAAGCCTTGTCACTGTCCAATGATATTTTGAGGACATGGCGCTGAAGGAAGACCAGTGTATTCTTTAGTTGGGATGGATAGGCTAAATTAAAGACAAAGTAGGAACAAAATGCTGTAAGGACACCCTGCTCAAGACTTTGTGCTCTGCAAACCGACAACCCATCCACCTTGATAACTGCAGAGACTCTTCCTGTGAACAGAGACCTCCAGACTGTGACATCCTCCACCTGGATAGTTGGATATGGTGATGTTGGCTCAGCCTAAAAAGGTAATAAAATCAGTTTTACAGCAATAACACATGTAATGTGAAACTGTAACATTAAACGAATAAATTACAGAAAATAAGATACATGCTTACCTCCCCAAGAATGATGTAATTCTCAAGTTTCTCCCTGAACAGGATCGGCAACAGTAGGATAGCAGAATTGAAATCAATCCCTGAAAGTTCATTTAAAACAGAGGAAAGAATAAATTACGGAATAAATTATGGTTAATTTACGTGCAATTAACCATAATTACTGTAACTATCAAAGTAGTGCTGTCTTAAAACTCAGAGTGCAAAACAATGAACAAAATTTTCTTAAGCATGGAAAAAGAGCTAAGACCTAGGTAATGAGGTAAGGACCTATACAGAACAGCCTAAGATATGGTCATGTTCTTTTTTAAGAATATAAGCATCCCTACATTTTCTGGCAGCAATTGTGACCTCTAGGCAGTAACTATGTCTCCTGCAGTTGAAAAGACACGCTCACTTGGAACAGAGGTCGCAGGAATGGAAAGATATTCTTTGACAAGTGGAGACGGCAAAGGATATTTGGAGCTGTTTTCTCTCCACCATGTCAGAGGGCAGCAACTAAGTGGGATAGATGCCTCTCTTCTGTAAAGTTTAGTTTCCCACTCAATTCCTTTGCTGGGCTGTTCTGTCTTCGAGAAAGAGTCCCCTAGCAGATCCTCAAGTGCTGTCTTCTTGGAAGCAGGTTCCTCTTCTGACTCAGCTCCGCCTTCAGCTTCAAGAGCCCCCTCGCCCCCATGTGTGGAACAATGAGCTGATGCCTCTTCCTTGCGCTCCATACTCTTCTCATTTGTGGGCTTTAAGCAGCAGAAACACTAGCTTTAACATTAGCAAGCAGCAAAGCAGTCCCCCTCTCTCTTTTAACACAAATACACTCACTCTGATGCTCTCGTGTTTACAACACACACACACACACAGAAACACAGCATGAACCTATTAAATCCATTTAAATTTGGTACTGGAAACATAAATCTTCTAGGGAAAAAAAATCAAGTCAATGATACCTGGTTTTGCTGCAACTGTTCCACCCTTTTCTGTATCCTCTGAAAGACTGCCTCACGCTGGTTGCAGTCTAGCTGCGATAGAGACTGGAATCTTCGGTCCAGCACAGTGCTCTCCAGCAGGTAGTTGTATACATCCCCACTGTATCTGCCTGAAATATTGCTGAGAATTGCTCTCTTTGTGTCGGCCACAGTGGGGGAATCACTGTCATTTGGTGAAATGTTTTGTTCTATCATGTTCTTCAGTGGCACGATGAGAGACACTGTGGGCCTCTTCTCTTCACACAAGACAGTGGCAGCTGTCTTTAAAGGATTCAGCAGCTTCACAAGGTCTTCGGCATTGACAATGTCGCAGGTATCCAGTGTGTCAATGTTTCGGGCATTTTGTCTTATTTCTGGGCTGGTGAGCACTGCTGCTGCTATAACAGCCTGCTGCTCCAGGTAACGAACCAGCATATCCAATGATGAATTCCATCGCGTGGTGACGTCCATTATTAATTTGTGCGGTGGCAGTTGTAGCAGCTTCTGCTTAGACGTCAGTACCGCGGCAGCTGTCGAACTCCAGTGAAAAAAAGCAGTTACACGTCAGAGAGATGGATAATACCGCATCTTTCAAAAAGATTTATGACCCAAAGGTCATAAAGGTCACGGGTCAAACGTTCACTGGATGGGCGGGTCTGGGGCGTGACGTCACCTGGCTGTGAGCCAGCAACGACCAGTGACGTTGGGAGAGGTTTAATTATTAATTAATTATTGTTTATTAATTATTTATTTTTATAATATTTATTATTTTATTATCAATTAATTATTTATTATTTTTATAGGAGAGTGAATTGTGTGCTTATGAGTGGGTTTTTGTGGGAATAGCCCCGTGCTACGAGGGTGCCGAGGACGGAGCTGAGCACGGGGGCTGAGTGGGTCGGTGTCATGTTCAGCTCCGAACGCTCCTCGTGTGTGCCACGCCCCCTCATTACCTCCTGTTGGAATTCTGATTGTCGTCACCTGTTCCCTATTCCGTTTGCCTTGTCTCTTGTATTTAGTCCTAGTCTCAGTCAGTCTTGTCAGATTAGTCATTGTATTGTTATGCGTGTTAGTGAATGTCTGCCTTTTCGTTTCCATTAAAACCCTGTTTACCCGTTCATCCGGCTCCTCTCGCCTACTTCCCGGCTCACCTGCCCCTGACACGTGACAGTCGGTTACCTGATGGAGTGTGAGCGTACGGTGCCTGTGGAGCGGTACCTTGGGAAGGTCCCGGGCTTTGGAGAATCCGCAAAGGACTCAGAGAGAGCGATGCTGGAGAGCTGTGAGCTGAGAGTTGTGCTGCGCGAGACTGAAAGAAACCCTGTGAGAATAAACAAGTTGGAGCTAAGAATGAGAGGAGGAGGGTCTGGGTCTGACGCTATCCTCCTCCAATGAACGCTTAGCGGCAGTTTGGGTGTGTGTGTGTGTTGACTAGGGCTGTAGTCAAGACCACCTTTGTCGAGTCCAAGACAAGTCCAAGACCAGGACTAGTCGAGTCCAAGTCAAGACCGAGTCCAAAGAGGTTCGAGTCCAAGACAAGACAGAGTCCAAAAAAGTTTGAGTCCGAGTCAAGACCGAGTCCAGGACAGGAAAAAAAAGTCTTATGCATGATATCATCAAGACAATCATTTTGGGTTATTATTTGTTGATCTAAAAGCAAAAACAGTGTCACAACACCCATGATTTTTAAGTATAGACATTCCCCTTTATATCATATAATCTATTAATCTAAAGAAAACAGAATGATGACATATGGTGATACCTCATAATAGCAGTGTTAGAACTGATATACAAACACCAACCCACTACTATTACCAATGCTAGGTACTAGTACTGAGCATTTAAGCAACTAAATTACAATATAGCTTCACTGCAGATGTACAGTAGTGTAGAAAAGAAGTGACCAGTATTACAGAGGGGGTA